GGCTATAAGGAGAAGGAAGACTGGTCATTCAGCTTGGCATTTATCTCACCTCCTGAGTCTCCATCAGAATGACAGTAAGGAAATAAAAAGCGCGTTGATTCCCAACATCAAAGAGAACAGGAAAGGAGCAAACCGTGATAGCTGACTTGTCAGAGTGGAGGCACTTAAACTAAGGGCCTGCATGCAAAGGGGAATAAGTACTGAGGGGCAAGCCGTTTTCTCTAGCAGAACCCTTGAGAGGTTCAGTGTTTCAAAGAACCAGGTAGTGGAAAGGGAGGAGGTGCAGAGCTGAAAATAAGTTGGACCCCAGGGCTCCTGTCCTACCTCGCACATCCAAATGTTCAAAACTTCCAGAACCCCCACAGGAAAACGGGGGTTTATTCTCTGGAAAAAATTGAACTGAACAGGTTTCAGACTCAGGAAATCCAGCCCAGTAAAGAAAAGGGTTAATCTTGGGGCTAAAAATGGAGATTAAGTACAAGTGTACATGATGAATTGTGGAACTGTCTCATCCTCCTTCCCCTACTTGGCTCCCAGAGCACCAAGCACATTGGTACCATCTTAGGAGACTGAAGGGTTCTCTGGATGCATTGAGCAAGCAAAAGAAAAGCCATCAGACCCTGGCTCTGGGGGACCACCATTAAAAGGCTCACTATTTAATAACCCTAATATGAAGACCTTTAGTCAACAAGCCCCACTTAAGCTTAAATATGAATAGACAGATAAGTATCACCAGATATTTAAGCTCTAACGAGAGAGCACATGAACACACACACACAGTCAGGAAGCAGCAACAAGGCAGGTAGCAGAAGAAAACTTTTTAATGAAAATCCATAATATCAACAAAGGAGTATTAGAAAAGATTGTGTTCATAGAACAAGAATAATATATATATAAAATGAGAAAGGATCAACCAAGAAACCAGGGAGAATTATTAAAATTAAAAGTTTGATAGCTAAAAATAAAAATAGAAACATAAAATAATGTCAAGAAAATTATGCAGAATGGGAAAGAAGATCAAGATGGAAAGTCAAAAAGAAAATATTAAAAACATCAGAAAGTCAATCCAGGAAGTCCAACGCCTCACCAACAGGCATTCCAAAAAGAACAGAGAAGGCAAGAGGAGGAAATTATTAAAGAAATACTACTACAAACATTCCTAGAGTTAAAGGTCACTACTCTTGAGATTGAAGTAGCCTACCAAGTATGCAACACAATCATTGTAAAATTTCAGAATAGATATTCCTTAAGCTTTTAGAAAAAGAAAAAAACCAAAATGGTTTGCTATAATGAAGCAGGAATCAAAACGGCATCAGATTTCCCAACAATAACATTGGCTATAAATGCTAGTGGGAAAATGCCTCAAAAGCTCTGACAGAAAATCATTTTCCAGCAAGAATTCTACATCTGGCCAAATCGTCAATCAGACATTAGGCTATTATATAGATATTTTCATTTATCTCGAGACAAAAAATATGCCTCCTATGCATCTTTCTTAGCATTCTTCCACAAAGCAAGGAGTAAAACAAGAAAGAGAAAGACACAGGATGCTGGAAATAGGGGACCCGACACGAGAAGAAGCAGAGAGAGGTCCCAAGATAACAGGTCTGCTCCAGGCCTAGAGAATAACCAACCAATCCAGACTGGAGCAGGAGGAAAAAGAGTAGTCAGAGGGCAGCTTCCAGGATTTAAAAAAAACAAAAACAAAAAAAACCTGATGGATTATGGGAGGTGTTTGAGCATTTACAAAAATTTTAACAGGTGTCTGACATCAGACAGAAAAAAAAAGATTATAGAGATATGTAAGAAACCAAGCAAATGAAAACATGAATCAATTAACTCTAGGTGCATGTGGGCAGGGACAGAATTTGTTCACTCATCAGTGAACAAAATTTGTGGTTATAATAGGGTAAAAGCTGACCACTATTTTAACCCAAAATAGTGAATCCACTACAATGGAAGGATAAGGGAAGGAAAAAGTAGGAGGAGAGGGGATATGAAAGAGAGCTTAATCACAGTGTCCATAAGCAACTCAAGAGCTAATGTACAAAATTGGTAAATCAAGAAAATAAGCATACTATTTAGAAATATGGACATGCATACCAGAAGAGTCATCTATCAGAACTGAAGACTGACTCTGGGGCCTAGATTAGGAGCTGGAGAGAGATGAGGTAGGATATTGCTGCTCAGTATCATAGGTCACTTTGTACTACATGATTTAAAAAACGTAATCAAATATTCTTTAGATTAAAATAAAATTAATTTTAAAAAGAAGAAAAAAGGCAAGTAGCTACTTGGTGATCTGACACCATTAATGATGAATAATAGGAAGAGATGTTATCAAAGGAAAAGGAAGTGTCCCTCAGGAGAGTCTTGCCGAAGCAGACAAGGCTGCAAGACAATCGGAGTGCTGGGAGATGGCATCCAGCAACCTTTCAAAGAACTGAATTATGAGAAAGTTCCTCAACTGTATAATACTTCTACTTAAATTCTTCATCGTAATGAAATTTTATCCAATTAACACAATTACAAAGATATGGCCCCTGTGCTCAAACGCTAAAGGTCTAGTAGAGAGGCAAGAGGTACAAGTATACTAAACTTAGGTGAATATCAAAGAATATAAGAAAAATCACCTGAGTATACTAAAAGGAACGAGAGGGAGACACAAACTACTCAGTTTCCAAAGGCACAAAGCTTTGGAATAAGGCTTGAGACATTCCAAGGAGGGGAGTGCATCTCAATCCAGATCCTTTCTGCCTTGGTGCCCTCGATGCCACATATTCCCCCAAACTAGTTTCCACAAAGCAGGGGGTCTGATCTCAGAAACCCAATTCTTTTGCTTCACTGCTACTGTGTTTAGGAATTTAAGAAACACAAGGTTCTTTTAGGTTCTGGCCAGAAATAAGCCACCATAGTGGGACAGAAAATAACCCTGTGGACTGGTGGGTTGACCAGAAAGAAAACAGGAAAGAACAGAAACTGTGATCATATCATTATCTGCAAGAGCAAAATGTTGACTTCTCATTGGAAACTAGATTTCAGGGAGATTATCTCTGAACAGAAGGGACTTTCTTGTGGTGATCTCCCAAACTGTACTGAAAGAATTCTAACTGCAAATGACTTCTCCTAGCAGCCATCACATAAATGTGAGTTTTTAAAGGCCCCAGCAAATGTGTACATATACTGTAAAGAGCCAATGGACAAGAGGCGCTGGAGCAGCAGAGGAAGGTTTGGAAAGACACGAAAACATAATGATGCTAGCATTTTAGAGCTGAGTGGAGCTTTGAGATCATGTGGTCTAGGCTTTCCCAAACTTTAATCATTTGTATACCACTTTCACTTTATCCCCCTTACTAATTACTTAATGTTTTTCTTTAAATTCGTGATTCCTCAAAATCAGAGGCTTAATATGTTGTTATATTTTTCTAATATACCCTAAAACTACTAAGATAAAAAATGTTTGTCAGCATGCCACACTTTGAGAAGCACTCATTTACAAACCAAGCAGCATAACCTTGGCAGAGTAAGGGACTCAGGGACTCAATCTGGAGACAATCTTCTCCAGATCTGATGGTCCAAAAGTGCCTATGAAGTTCCCCTAAATTTATCATGGAAGTGTTTCAAAATCCTTACTTTTTACAGCTAGGAATGTTAACCAAAAATAAAGTCCTTTACCTTTAAGGTGTTTACACTCTAAACGGGGAGAATTCCAAACTTAATTGTGTTTTACATATTTACTTAGAAGGTATACCAAAATGAGCTAATTTTGAAAAAATAGATAATGGTCATAGGAGTAGTAATGGATCCTCATCCTGAGAGGTGGCAGAGTATGTTGCAAAGAGCAAGAAATTCTCTCAAGGTGGTAACATCCCGAAGTTTTTTTCTTTATATTTTTAATATCTTTTAATTGTCTATAGTAAACGTTTATTAGTTTTATAATCAGTCTATGGCCACGCTACCCTGAACAAGCCCGATCCAGTCTGATCTCAGAAGCTAAGCAGGGTCAGGCCTGGTTAATACTTGGATGGGAGACCACCTAGGAAGACCAGGTGCTGTAGGTGTAAAAAATAAAAAAAA